TTCAGTTACAGCTGTTCCTGCTGTGATTCAACCAAATTGTGAAGCTTCTTAACATCCTTCTCAGCCTCTTCCATATTAACTTTCAAGTCGTGAATTGACCCTCGATTCTCCTCACTGTAGTCCATTAGTCGTTGATACGTTGCATCCACAACTGTTTTTACCATGGATTTGATAATTAGCTGAATTTTGTCTAAGAAAGTGGAGTTAGCTAGTAGATCATCCATGACCTCAGCTTCAAGAGACGCTGCAGCCCGTTGATTCTCACCCTGGCCCTGGCAGGTCTGTGAGTCCGAGGTACTCTTCTCTTGGATTTCACTCTGACTAGACGCTGATGCACCCCTTGTTACCACAAGATGAGAGTGCGAGTATATAAGATGTAATGATAGTCTAGTAAGGAATAAGGCAATAATAATCGGCGACCTTAGAAACAGACAGTAAATTGGTCTGATCTCGCGGATCTAGTAGCCTACTGTCTTTAGTGATTAGCAATAGAAAGAACGAGCACCCACAAAAGTCTACACATGGGACAGCCTTTAAAAATGGACAATCAAGTAAGGCCGCACAAGCATCAAAATCACATATGTTCGTACCTGTTGTTGTTTGAAATATGTAGGAGTTCCTGGCAGGCAAGATAAAACACTAATTACATGGTATTACACAACCAGAGTAATAAAAGAAGTAAAAACCGAAATATCTTGGAGAGAATCGAGTCGTCGGGCGTATGGTATCGTTGAAGTGGCAAGACATTATGATGAAGGGCTTTGCCAAATTACCCATTTCCTACCCATGGCAACTTCCTAACATCGGTATAGTTTCATCTGGCACGGAAAACAATAATGAAGCCTAGCTGTATAGATGATGATAAAGCGAGATGTTCCCTTCTCTTCCTTTTCCTTTTTTTTTTCGTATTGGGGTTCAGGTTTTCTCTGCTTTTCTTTTCTGTTTATTTTCTCAACAATACATTGAGTACGTTTTGAGGGGTTGACGTTCATAATGCCAATTGCCCTTTTTGTGAACCCCACATTTCCTTAAAATTTTGTTTGCTCTTTCCCTTTGTATTTTTCTTGGAATCGTTCTTTATCTGTATATCATGTATATCATGTTTGTATGATTAATGCTTTTAAATGGAGAATTAATAATTGAATTGGCTTGAATTGACTAAGTTTCCGTGTGGGCTAACGTCTACAGGTTGAGGCCGTGGGTGTACTTCGTAAAACGTAAGCAATATGGTATAGTTCATTTTTTTCCAGAATTTGTTAGGAAATGACAGGGAAATTCGCTAAATCATGTGGCGTAATATTATTCTGTAACCACCTTTGTGAATAATACGCACATTTGTATGTAGGTGCTGTGGCATATAGGTTCATTCACTTGACTCTCAATCCAAAAGTCCTTTGGAAAGACATTAATCTACATTTGCCACTCTCCACTCAGGTTTTAAAAAGTACCCGGGAAGGTTCGAATGTCATCAAACCTTGTTTCGCTATGTGAGTCGATACTAAATGGTGACTGGCTGGGATGCTCCCCAGGGATTCGGGAATATGCATACATTGTGTGTGGACAAGCCTGAAACCGATGACAGGGAAATAATGTATCTCTAAAACGCTTAGAGGAACCGTCGATATATATCAAAACCAGAATGTTGTTATTATCATTGCTCATTTGTGGTGAATGTGAGACAAGAAAAAAGGTGGGTGAAAGGGAAAACAAAAGAAAGAAAGAACGAGAGAGAAAAAAAAAAAAAAAAAAGCACTCCCACGAACACTCACATTCTGCACATAGCATGCTATGTCCTAGCAGGATATATACATTTCTATTCAATAACATGTCTGTTCAGCTATTTCAATCCGAAAATATCCTGTCATATCTATATTTTTTTGAAATTTTGTGATTATTTACCACCATTATACTTGATTTGAAATCTTTAAAAAAAAATGGTGTATTCTACGCTCATACCCTTGTAAAAATAATATTAAAAAAAAATAATAAAAAAAAAAATCGTTTTTAATGTAAATGTGGAACAAATAATCTTCAACTTTCAAATACATGTTCAGTTCTGTCGTTCTTTCTTATCGACTTAGCCTTCAACGTAAAAACCTTACAGACACGGGCCGCAGTCAGCGTCTCAGAAACCACTGTAGAACTTTACACAACAATCGGTGACACTGTCAACATACCATGTCTCTCCGAAAAAGGCACGCTTGATGTATACGTCTTGTGGCGCAACAACGATAAAAATTCGGCTAAGAAGGTTGTGTTTGAAAACGGTGGGAACATGCTTTTCAATTCCAAATATAAAAATCGAACAAGTTTTCAAAACAACTATTCGAGGTTCATCTTGAAGGAAATAGCCGTGGCCGATGAGGGGACTTTTGAATGTCACGTGGACAATCCAAAGCAACCGGCAGAGTCCACTGTCATAATCAAGCTCTATGTTTTCAGTAAGTATTTGTTGGTCTTATTGGCGGCTAGGAACAGTCATTGATTATGACATTTTTTTTAAAAACAGTCACACTTTCACGTATAAGAAAGTGTTGTTTAGTAATAACAATATTAAAATTTTGTCTACCCCGAAAGCCTCGTCAGCGCCATAGCTGTTCTTCTACAATTATTATTATTAAAAGCGATTGCCATGTGCCCATTCACATATTTTGTGAGAGTTTTAAATGTTGATAAATGAGTTACCCAAATACATCCGGACCCAGCTGTATTTCAATTGTACTTGGCAATTCTGTGGAAATTATTGCATGAAAGACAGTAGTACTTGGGCAAATAATACAATTTATGATAGTAATTGGAATAATATAATGATAATATGATAATAATAACACTAATAATAATACTAATATTATCATCATTATGACTATCATTGTAATAATGATCATCAGTTTTTTCATAATATTTGTTGCTTGTGTTTTCATTGTTATTTTTACTGTAAGTAGTAGTAGTAGTATTGTTATCAATATTCATAACACTGGTATTGTATTGATAATACTGTTATTATCATTATTATCTTTTCATTAAGGTCCTCGCCCCAATACGCTTCCCCTGATTTCACCTTGCACCAAGGTTGACGAGCCTTCATCTTGCAGCATTCATGTCAACCAATCCGTCACCCTTACCTGCACACTCCCCAACTTATATCCTGTTAAAGATACTGAACTCGTTTGGTATCGGGATGGAAAACGTGTCTCATCAACTCATAACGCTACGCAGAACGATGACGGGACCACTGATATCAGTCGACAGATTCAGGTGTCTGAAACAGGAAACTTTACCTGTAACGCCACATATTTTTCGGCTAAAGGAAGAGATGACACAGCCGTATCAGTTGAAGCATGGAATAAAGCACCCGTAGGTATGTATTTATAACCTTTTGAAATTGGTACGTAATACGAGTTTTGGATGCTTTCTGCGCCTCTCTCTACAGTTGCCCGTTTGCCCGCCACACAATATGGAATTTTTCACAAAACAATGAACACTAATTGATGTCAGGATTGTTTGTGCTACATGATGAAGGGCTTTGCCAAATTACCCATTTCTTACCCATGGCAACCTCCTAACATCGGTATAGTTTCATCTGGCACGGAAAACAATAATAAAGCCTAGCTTTATAGATGATGATAAAGCGAGATGTTCCCTTCTCTTCCTTTTCCCTTTTTTTTCGTATTGGGGTTCAGGTTTTCTCTGCTTTTCTTTTCTTTTTATTTTCTCAACAATACATTGAGTACGTTTTGAGGGGTTGACGTTCATAATGACAATTGCCCTTTTTGTTTACCCCACATTTCCCTAACATTTTGTTTGCTCTTTCCCTTTGTATTTTTCATGGAATCGTTCTTTATCTGTATATCATGTATATCATGTTTGTATGATTAATGCTTTTTAATGGAGAATTAATAATTGAATTGGCTTGAACTGACTAAGTGTCCGTGTGGGCTAAAGTCTACAGGTTGCGGACGTGGGTGTACTACGTATTACGTAAGCAGTATGGTATAGTTCATTTTTTTCCAGGAATTGTTAGGAAATGGCAGGGAAATTCGCTAAATCATGTGGCGTAATATTATTCTGTAACCACCTTTGTGAATAATACGCACATTTGTATGTAGGTGCTGTGGCATATAGGTTCATTCACTTGACTCTCAATCCAAAAGTCCTTTGGAAAGACATTAATCTACATTTGCCACTCTCCACTCAGGTTTTAAAAAGTACCCGGGAAGGTTCGAATGTCATCAAACCTTGTTTCGCTATGTGAGTCGATACTAAATGGCGACTGGTTGGGATGCTCCCCAGGGATTCGGGAATATGCATACATTGTGTGCGGACAAGCCTGAAACCGATGACAGGGAAATAATGTATCTCTGAAACGCTTAGAGGAACCGTCGATATATATCAAAACCAGAATGTTGTTATTATCCTTGCTCATTTGTGGTGAATGTGAGACAAGAAAAAAGGTGGGTGAAAGGGAAAGCAAAAGAAAGAAAGAACGAGAGAGAACAACAACAAAATAAACACTCTCACGAACACTCACTTTCTGCACATAGCACGCTATGTCCTAGCAGGATATATACATTTCTATTCAATGACATGTCTGTTCAGCTATTTCAATCCGAAAATATCCTCTCATATCTATATTTTTTTGAAATTTTGTGATTATTTACCACCATTATACTTGATTTGAAATCTTTAAAAAAAAATGGTGTATTCTACGCTCATACCCTTGTAAAAAAAAAAAAAAAAAAAATTTAAATCGTTTTTAATGTAAATGTGGAACAAATAATCTTCAAACTTCAAATACATGTTCAGTTCTGTCGTTCTTTCTTATCGACTTAGCCTTCAACGTAAAAACCTTACAGACACGGGCCGCAGTCAGCGTCTCAGAAACCACTGTAGAACTTTACACAACAACCGGTGACACTGTCAACATACCATGTCTCTCCGAAAAAGGCATGCTTGGTTACATCTTGTGGCGCAACAACGATAAAAATCGGGCTAATAAGATTATGTCCAAAGCCGGTGGGAACATGCTTATCGATGCAGAATATAAAAATCGAACAAGTTTTCAAAACAACCATTCGAGGTTCATCTTGAAGGAAATAGCCGTGGCCGATGAGGGGACTTTTGAATGTCACGTGGACTATCCAACGCAACCGGTAGAGTCCACTGTCATAGTCAAGCTCAATGTTTTCAGTAAGTATTTGTTGGTCTTTTTGGCGGCTAGGAACAGTCATTGATTATGACATAAATTTAAAAAAACAGTTACACTTTCACGTAAAAGAAAGTGTTGTTTAGTAATAACAATATTAAAATTGTGTCTACCCCGAAAGCCTCGTCAGCGCCATAGCTGTTCTTCTACAATTATTATTATTCAAAGCGATTGCCATGTGCCCATTCACATCTTTTGTGAGAGTTTTAAATGTTGATAAATGTGTTACCCAAATACATCCGGACCCAGCTGTATCTAAATTGTACTTGGCAATTCTGTGGAAATTATTGCATGAAAGACACTAGTACTTGGGCAAATAATACAAATTATGATAGTAATTGGAATAATATAATGATAATATGATAATAATAACACTAATTATAAATACTAGTATTATTATCATTATGACTATCATTGTAATAATGATCATCAGTATTTTCATAATATTTGTTGCTTGTGTTTTCATTGCTATTTTTACTAGTAGTAGTAGTATTGTTATCAATATTCATAACACTGGTATTGTATTGATAATACTGTTATTATCATTATTATCTTTTCATTAAGGTCCTCGCCCCGATACGCTTCCCGTGATTTCACCTTGCACCAAGGTTGACGAGCCTTCATCTTGCAGCATTCATGTCAACCAATCCGTCACCCTTACCTGCACACTCCCCAACGTATATCCTGTTAAAGATACTGAACTCGTTTGGTATCGGGATGGAAAACGTGTCTCATCAACTCATAACGCTACGCAGAACGATGACGGGACCACTGATATCAGTCGACAGATTCAGGTGTCTGAAACAGGAAACTTTACCTGTAACGCCACATATTTTTCGGCTAAAGGAAGAGATGACACAGCCGTATCAGTTGAAGCATGGAATAAACCACCCTCAGGTATGTATTTATAACCTTTTGAAATTGGTACGTAATACGAGTTTTGGTTGCTTTCTGCGCCTCTCTCCACAGTTGCCCGTTTGCCCGCTACACAATATGGAATTTTTCACAAAACAATGAACACTAATTGATGTCAGGATTGTTTGTGCTACATGATGAAGGGCTTTGCCAAATTACCCATTTCTTACCCATGGCAACTTCCTAACATCGGTAAAGTTTCATCTGGCACGGCAAACAATAATGAAGCCTAGCGGTATAGATGATGATAAAGCGAGATGTTCCGTTCTATCCCTTTTGCTTTAAAATGAAACTTTATTATCATATTTTCATTGTCAGCATAAATATAAGTATCATTAATATCACTATTATGAGTAGTATTATAACAGTTATTATTAATATATCACTAATGTTATAATTATTATCATTATAATAATTATCATTATTATTGTTCTTGTTATTTAAACATGAAGATGTTGAACAGATCCCTTCAGAAAATAACACTCACATGGTTATCATAAATAGCTTTAGTCTTCCTTATAAAGTCAGATATTACTTTTCTTTCAACTTGTCTTCCTGCCTTAGATGTACGAAACACAACAGGAAAGAATGTGACCGGTAGTCAAATCGACGGGATGACAATACGCATGATGCTGTTTGTAGCCATTGCTGGCATCTCCCTCGCGATCATCACACGTTTCTTCTATCGTTCGAAAGCAACAGGCAAGTCTGGTTTGCTTATGAAATATGCTGACAAGTACTCGAAGTTTTACCGTGTTTGATTTCACCAATTAATTTGGCGTGTTCTCACGTCTTAACCTATTTGCCTCGCGTACACCTTTTTTGCGCGTAGTTACCAGTCATTCACATTTTTTGACGCGGTGGTTCTTACCAAGGTCAAGGGTGTGATTTGAAATTGACCTCACAGGAATTGCCACTGGATCATACATGTAGGTCGTAAAATCGGTATAAAAAAGACGTAGCTCTGACTTTAATTAAAGGTTAATTCATCATTTTGTTGACAGTAAATTGTCGTCTGGAACGTTATATTGATATATATTATATATATATATGTATACGTATATTTGTATATTTTATTTTATATTCTACATTTATATCTAAAGTCTTAACAATAATATATCATTAATTTTTTCAATGCTACTTTACTGCATTAATAGGCTAGTACCCATTAAATTAATTTGGCGTGTTCTCACGTCTTACCCTATTTGCCTCGCCCACACCTTTTTTGCGCATAGTTACCAATCATTTACCTTTTTTTGACGCGGTGGTTCTTACCACTTGTTTCAGACGGTTTGCTTTTTACATCTGAAAGGACCTTTATTGGGTAAAATTAACAAAACTCATTTTAAAAGAAGATTGAGTTCTGGAGAGAGGTGACAAATAATTTGTGAGCGTTATCATTATGCAAGTGTGGAAAAACATGAGAGAAAAAATCTTTCCTCAAAAGCATGGCTCTTCAAATGCCTTCTTACTCTAAATATGACAAATAACAGCTTAAATATGAGGCAGGATATTTATGCCACATGCTTGTGAAATCACGTGTAGCTTTACCATGTACAGTACGTCTTACTCTATCAAGACTTGGCCAGATTTCTCACCATTTTGATGATTCAAGAACCTTGCAGTACACACCAATACTTATATGCTACATGATCAACCATTTGTGATCAATTCCACACCGTTTCTTTCACAATGCGATCGCATGACCTGAACTCAACTTTTATCTTTAAGAGTTTATGTAGCCCTAAAACATCTACTTTTAAATCTTGATCTGTGTGTATTACTTTTTGTTCATATATTAGGGTATTTTCCGTCAGCCATTTTGATATATAGGGCGGGGAGAAGTATTTTGTAGAAGTAAAAAAAAAAAAAAAATAGTGTGCCTACATGCGTTTTTAAATATATTTTTTTAAAGTTTTAATAACGAAACCAAACTCAATTTGAATCTGCAATACAGATATGAAATGATAATGCTGATGTACTTTTGTTTTTAAGGTCGACGACCCTCCGGAAGACATGAAAACAAAGAGGATGTGACCCTACTAACTCAAGGTATATTTAATACATTACAGTCTCTAAATATGTCCCGACGTTTGCTCCGGACGTCATTTCGTCAGAAAGAGAGTTTTGACTTGAATTTCATTGGTTTTATGATATTTAGGGTGAAGGGTAGGTAAAGGGTGTGATTTGAAATTGACCTCACAGGAATTGCCACTGGATCATACATGTAGGTCGTATAATCGGAAAAAATAGACATAGCTCTGACTTTAATTAGAGGTTCATTCATCATTTTGTTGACAGTAAATTGTCGTCTGGAACGTTATATTAATATATTATATATATATATATATATATATATATATATATATATAAATATATATTAACGTATATGTGTATATTTTATTTTATATTCTACATTTATACCTAAAGTCTTAACAATAATATATTATTATTTTTTTCAATGCTACTTAAGTGCATTAAGAGGCTAGTACCCATTAAATTAATTTGGCGTGTTCTCACGTCTCACCCTATTTGCCTCGCCTACACCTGTTTGCGCGTAGTTACCAATCATTTACCTTTTTTGACGCGGTGGTTCTTACCACTTGTTTCAGACGGTTTGCCTTTTACATCTGAAAGGACCTTTATTGGGTAAAATTAACAAAACTCATTTTAAAAGAAGATTGAGTTCTGGAGAGAGGTGAAAAATAATTTGTGAGCGTTATCATTATGCAAGTGTGGAAAACATGAGAGAAGAAATCTTCCCTCAAAAGCATGGCTCTTCAAATGCCTTCATACTCTTAATATGACAAATAACAGCTTAAATATGAGGCAGGATATTTATGCCACATGCTTGTGAAATCACATGTAGCTTTACCATGTACAGTACGTCTTACTCTATCAAGACTTGGCCAGATTTCTCACCATTTTGATGACTCAAGAACCTTGCAGTACACACCAATACTTATATGCTACATGATCAACCATTTGTGATCAATTCCACACCGTTTCTTTCACAATGCGATCGCATGACCTGAACTCAACTTTATCTTTAAGAGTTTATGTAGCCCTAAAACATCTACTTTCAAATCTTGATCTGTGTGTATTACTCTTTGTTTATATATTAGGGTATTTTCCGTCAGCCATTTTGATATATAGGGCGGGGAGAAGTATTTTGTAGAAGTAAAAAAAAAAAAAAATTAGTGTGCCTACATGCGTTTTTATTTATTTTTTTTTTTTTAAGTTTTAATAACGAAACCAAACTCAATTTGAAGCTGCAATACAGATATGAAATGTTAATGCTGATGTACTTTTGTTTTTAAGGTCGACGACCCTCCGGAAGAGATGAAAACAAAGAGGAGGTGACCCTACTCACTCAAGGTATATTTAATACATTACAGTCTCTAAATATGTCCCGACGTTTGCTCCGGACTTCATTTCGTCAGAAAGAGAGTTTTGACTTGGATTTCATTGGTTTTCTGATATTTAGGGCGAAGGGTAGGTCAAGGGTGTGATTTGAAATTGACCTCACAGGAATTGCCACTGGATCATACATGTAGGTCGTATAATCGGTATAAAATAGACGTAGCTCTGACTTTAATTAGAGGTTAATTCATCATTTTGTTGACAGTAAATTGTCGTCTGGAATGTTACATGTATATATATATATATATATATATATATACGTATATTTGTATATTTGATTTTATATTCTACATTTATATCTAAAGTCTTATCAATAATATATTATTAATTTTTTCAATGCTACTCAAGTGCATGAATAGGCTAGTACCCAATATATCATGTTCGGTCGTCAATCATATTACCTTATCGCTCTTCTTGCATCTTCCATAAGCATCATAAGAATATCCAAAATCTATTTTTCTTGGTATTTTCAGTATTCATTTCATTGAACGAGGTCGTCAGGCTACGGTTTTATATATCAAAGGAAGTAGATAATTATTATGCGATACATAAATGAAATATGTGATCGATGATTAAATACACAAACCGACTCATACAACTTTGTGTTGATAACAAGTGTAACGTTTCTTGCTTTCCACAGTTGATGGTTCAGTCTCGCTCCCATCCTCTACCGTGAGACACCGTAACGTGATGAGGTACAGCGTTTTCATGTACTGCAACGTAGTGAACAAGGCATCGTACGCGTTTTTCCTTTAAGGGGATATCTCCTGATAAATTACAAGATAACATTTATCGCCAGAGAATACCATGTATAGGCACTACAACACTCACAAATACACACGCCCAAACAAATACACACGAACCTCTAAACACTAGCAAAACCCTCACACACATACATACACAAAGAAATATACAGTATATATGTATATATATATATATATATATACATATATATATATATATATATATATACAGTGCGTCCCAGAAAAAACAAACCCGACAATTATCGATGTTTTATCTTAACTTAATCACAATTATTATTAATAAGTGACACATTTTTGGAAAGCTTAGATCCTCTTTTTTCATTTGATGCAACTCGTATAATCCATATTTTACGCATGAGTGATTAAAATTAATTTGAAGAGAGGATAACAAAAAGTCATTTGACGGACGGTATCTGAATTTCAAAAAGAAAATCACATTTCTAGAAAGTTGAGTTTCTGCCCTTACATATGACATCTCAGTCAGGAAAAATGAGCTAGGAATAAATTTAATTTATTTTTTATTAAACGAATTCGTTTTCACTGGCTGTCTGCTGTAGCAGCAAACGGAATTAACAAAAGACTTAACTCCGTTTCGTTGACATTCAGCCGTAGACGAAAGACTTCATGCATGGCTGATTGTCAACGAAACGGAGTTAAGTCTGTTGTCAATTCTGCTTGTTGCTACTGCAGGGAGCCAGTGAAAACGAATTCGTTTGATAAAATTATGGAAATGTAAGCACTACTTTAAACAAACAGAACTTTGTCATTCCTTGCTCATTTTCACGATTGAGGTGTCATATGAAAGGGCACAAACTCAACTTTTTAGAAATGTAATTTTCTCTTTGAAATTCAGATACCGCCCGCCAAATGTCTTTTTTGTTCCCTCTCTTCATATTCATCTAAATCACCCATGTATGAAATATGCATCATATGAGTTGCATCAAATGAAAGAAGAGGATCTAAGCTTTCCAAAAATGTGTCATTTGTTAATTATAAATGTGACTAAAATATTATAAAACATCGATAGTTCTCGGTTTCGTTTTCTCTAGGACGCACTGTAGATATATATCGTACTTATAATACACTGTCGCTCATATATTTAGAATATTTTTTTTTACTCCACTTTATGGAATTATTTTGACAATGATTTATTCCTAATAGATCTATATAATAGTATACATTCTCAGATTTTATTAAAAAATAATGTGCCAATGTTTGTTTTGCGTGACTGCTAAACCATGTGTGTGCTACTATGCTTATCAACTACGCCCTTAAGTCATAAATGATAGTAATGAGGATAAATGCCCCACAAAAGGGCACTAATATAGCACATCGACACGGTTTTTATCCTGAGGCCTCACAGTTACGAGGCCATTGCTTTGCCACTGAACCATGACTGTACGAAGCGGGGGCTAGGGTAGGGGGCAGTTCCCACAAATAAATAAAAAAAAATAAAAAACGCAATAAATTATCAATAATTCATTGAATTACCCCCCGGTCCCCAACAGAAACAAATCTTCTGTGTGCCCATGCCTTGAGCCATAATGCATGGCCGTACAGAGGATTTTCTAATG